CACGCTGCAATCCCTTCTCCTCCATTCTCCTCTTGGGATCTTGGGCACGCACGCACACACGCCCGGCGTGAGTTTAAGCCACCGGGTCCGGGACTCGAACTGTGGTCCGCTACATAGGAGTCCAACGACATAGCCATTACGCCAACTGCTGGTTCCATAAACAAAATAATTATTAAAAAAAAAAAAAAAGAAAGAAAGAAAGAAAGAAAATAAAAAGAAAAAGCAGAGCCCGCAAGGTGGTGCAATGATTAAGGGCACTGGACTCCCACATGGCTGACAGCGGTTCGAGTCTTGGACCTGGCAGCTTACTTTCTCACTTTCTCTCTTTCTCTCTCTCTCTCTGCCACTCTCTGGTTGAAAGAAAGAAGAAAGAAAGAGAGAAAGAAAGTTATTTTATTTTATTATTAATTTTGTAAAAAGCTTCCTTGTGGCTGTGGGTATACAGTGAGTACGCCTTGGTGCTCAGTCCCAGCCAGGGCAGGGCTTGCATGTTTTGGGGACTGAGCAAACAGCTACCCCGAGGCTGAGAGCCTTGCTCACAGCCCACCTGTCAGCCATCAGCTGAAGCCGGAAATAAACACATATTGCACGACGCCTCTGCTCAGTGGAGCTCCGTTCACGTGGGGCCGTCTAGAGGAAAAACAAATAAAAAAAAAAGCTTATGCCCAGGGCCAAGGATCTTGGGGGGGGTAGGGTTAGCATGGCACTGAAATGAACATGCCTTCGGCTCCTGTGGTATGCAGCTCTCAGAGCGTGAGGCTGGGGCTTGCAGATGGCATAGCGGTTATGTCACTGGACTCCCTGTAACCATGGTTCGAGTCCCGGACCTGGTGGTTTGCTTTCTCTCTTTTTCTTTCTATCCCTGGTCAAAGTAAATAATAAAATAAAAAGAAATCAAATGAAAGAAAGAATTCTTTAAGTAATAACTAAAATAATTCTTTAAAAAATAAAAGAAAGATGGGACCAGCAGTTAGCGTAATGGCTATGTTGCTTGATTCCCATGTAGTCTATCATGGTTCAAATCCCGAACCCAGTGGCTTAAACTCACGCTGGGCGCATGTGCGTGTGTGCCCAAGATGCCGAGAGGAGAATGGAGGAGAAGGGATTGCAGTGTGGCCATCCCCCCTGGGGGGTGATTTCTCGCTTTCTGTCTCTCTGTCTCTCTCTGTCTCTCTGGCAAGTGCACGCGCCCTATAGCAAAAACCTCTCCAAAAAAAGAAAAAGATGGGAGTCCAGCATCCTTAACCACCATGCCTCCTAAAAACAAATAGACCAAGCAGGGCTCAGAGAAGTCGGGAGCTGCCCAGGGCCAGCTCTGCCTCATACCCCATCCCCTGCGCAGTCCCGTGACCTGTGTCTGCGGACGCCACCGATCAAGAAATCCGACGCCCCGCTGATCAACGTCAGTCTCTACTACGAGGCTCTGTGCTTCGGCTGCCGCTACTTCCTGGTCCGAGAGCTCTTCCCGACGTGGCTGCTGGTGAGGGAGATCCTCAATGTCACGCTGGTGCCCTACGGAAACGCGGAGGTGCGTGGGTGCAGGGGAAACCGAGGCACGTGGGCCCGAGGCGTGGACGCCCCACTCCCTCCGCGCCTGGCACCCACCCCTCCGCCCCTCCTTGCCTTTCAGGAGCGCAATGTCACCGGCAAGTGGGAATTCGTGTGCCAACACGGAGAGGAGGAGTGCAAGCTGAATAAGGTGGAGGTGAGTGGGGGTCCCCCCCCCAAGTCTCCCCGCCATGGGGGGCAGAGTCTGCAAAAACGGTCCATTCTGTGGAAGGCAAAAGCGAGCCCCAGCTCGTCCTCTGCATGCACGCAATCATGTCTTCATTCACTACATCCCTAGTGGGCGCCGGGAGTGATTCCCAGAGGGTCTTGGGGTGCTCTAGCCCCCCTCAGCTCTTGCCTGGCCCCTCTCTGTTCCCCTAGGCATGCCTACTAGACCAGCTTGAACCGGTCCTGGCCTTCCTGACCATAGTCTGCATAGAGCAGATGGAAGACCTCGAGGCAAATCTGCAGCCGGTCAGTGACCCCTCTCTTGCTTGGCACAGAGAGTCAGGGGTGTGGAGTGTGGCGTTCCTTGCACTTACGCAAGACCCAGGTTCAAATCCTGGTCTCCTCTGCCACTCTCTCTCCAGCCCCAGGAAAATGACTTCCTCTCTCTGAATCAGGGAAATGCAGGTCATTTGGGGGGGGTGGGTATGAACAAATCAGGGCGGACTTCTTGGAGGAGGTGCCTCTGAGCTGGGTATGAAAGGAATGAACAGGCATGTGGAGGGACACAGAAGATCGGGTGTGGGTGATGATAAGGTGGCCTACTTCTTAATGACACTGTGATAAATATTTCCCCAAAGAGTGACTGGTCTGCCCCTAGTGTGTATTCATTCATCAAATATCTGGCCACCCAAGGGGCCTCACCCAGAGACACTCCTAACCCTGCAGCAGCGTAAGAGTCTGGGGGAGTGAAGAAAACAAAGAGTATGCTAACAAGACAATGGGGGGTGGGGCCCATAGGTGTGACAAGGTGGTGAGGGTGCTGGACTCCCACGTAGCAGACCATGGTTCAAGTCCCAGACCTGGCAGCTTGCTTTCTCACTTTCTGTCTCTCTGGCCGTCTCTCTGTCTCTGGTTACATAAAAATAAATAACTACATAAAGAAAAAGTTAAATAAAATAATTCTTTTTTTAAAATGTCATTTATTTATTTATTTTAATTTGACCAGAGAGGGACAGAGTGAGAGGCAGAGAGACGGAAAGTGAGAAAGCAAGCTTCCAGGTCTAGGAATCGAACCGTGGTCAGCCATGTGGGAGTTCAGTGCCCCCAGCCACCGTGTCACCTGCCGGCCTCAAATTAAATAATTATTTTTTAAAAATTATGAGAAGGGACCAGCAGTTAGCATAATGGCTGTGTTGCTGGACTCCCATGTAGTCGACCACGGTTCAAGTCCCGGACCCGGTGGCTTAAACTCACGCCAGGCGCATGTGCGTGCATGCCCAAGATCCCGAGAGGAGAATGGAGGAGAAGGGATTGCGGCATGGCCATCCCCCCTGGGGGTGATTTCTCACTTTCTGTCTCTATGTCTCTGTCTGTCTGTCAGGTGAACAAATGCACCCTGTAACAAAAACCTCTCAAAAAAAAAAAAAAAAATCATGAGGAAGGAGGAGGAAGGAGTTTTAGGTGGAGGGAATACCCTATAAGGACACCCTGGAATGGGCCAGCAGGTGGCGTGGTGGTTAAGGGAGCTGGACTCCCACATGGTCAGTGGCAGTTCGAGTCCCGGACATGGTGGCTTGCCTTCTCCCTTTGGCACGTACTCTTTTTCTCACTCTGTCCCTCTCTGGTCAAATGAAAATAAATGAATAAATAAAGAAGCTCCGAGGAAAACGAGAAACCAGAGGAGGCAGAGGGGGTGCAAGCGTAACTGGAGCGGGGGAAAGGCCCAGAGCCGGGCACCAGCCTCGGGAACCCGCCTAGCACCTGCTGTTTCTGGGTACCGTTGCATGGCTGTGAAACCAGCTGTCCCCTCTTCCCAGTGGGGAAACCGGCTTAGCTCAGGGGCAGGTGGGGGACCGTTGGGGAGATAAGAGGGAGGAAGCTGAGGCAACCCCCCGGCTCGCCCGTCCGTCCGCAGTGCCTGGCGCTCTACGCCCCCAAGATGCCGCTGGACGCCATCATGAACTGCGCAACTGGGGACCGCGGGACCGAACTCTTGCACATCAACGCTCAGCTCACAGACGCCCTGAGGCCACCGCACACCTACGTGCCCTGGGTCACCGTCAACGGGGTAGGAATCCCAGAGCCTTCACCTCCAACCCGGGACGGGATCAGGGTGTGGGTGTTCCCGCTGGTCTGGGAGGCCGGAGTCAGGCCAGACTCGGGGTCTTTGCAACGCCCCCCTGAGGTGGGCCTAAGAGGACCCAAGTGGAATTATATGGTCTTCTAGGATTTCTCCCCTAATTTTTAATTTTTTTAAAAGAATTATTTATTTTTAAAAGAATTATTTATGGGAACAGCAGTTGGCGGAATGGCTATGTCGCTGGATTCCCATGTAGTCGACCGCGGTTTGCGGTTCAAGTCCCGGGCCCGGTAGCTTAAACTCATGCTGGGCACGTATGCGTGCATCCCCAAGATCCCGGGAGGAGAAGGGAGGAGAAGGGATTGCGGCGTGGCCATCCCCCCTGGGGGGTGATTTCTCACTTTCTTTCTCTCTGTCTCTCTCCTTCTGGCAAGCGCACGTGCCCTATAGCGAAAACCTCTCCGAGAAAAAAGAATCATTTATTTACTTTTATTTATTTGTTATTATTATTTTTAAAAGAATTATTCCATTTAACTTTATTTATCCATTCATTTATTTATTTTAATTTGACCAGGGAGAGACAGAGTGAAAGTGAGAGAGACAGAGGGATAGAGAGAGAGAAAGTGAGAAAGCAAGCCACCAGGTCTGAGACTCGAACCACAATCGGCCATGTGGGAGTCCAATACCCTCAACCACCACACCAGGTGCAAGCCCCAATTTGTTATTATTATTTTTAAAGAATTATTTTATTGGGACCAGCAGTTAGCATAATGGCTATGTTGCTGGGCTCCCATTTAATCCAACGAGAGAGACAGGAGACAGAAAGCGAGAAATCACCCCCCAGGGGGGATGGCCACGCTGTAATCCCTTCTCCTCCATTCTCCTCCCGGGATCTCAGGCACGCATGCACACGCTCCCAGAATGAGTTTAAGCCACCGGGTCCAGGACTCAAACTGCGGTCGGTTACGTGGGAGTCCAGCGACATAGCCATGACGCTAACTGCTGGTCCCTCATCCTCTGTCCTGTTTTGTACAGAAACCTATAGAGGAACAAAGCCAGCTCTTGAGCCTCGTCTGTGAGTTGTACCAGGTAAGCTGGGTGGGGTGCAGTGGGATTTCGCGGGTGAGGGATGGAGGAGGTCTCCTTGCAGGACGCCAGCTCACGCCCTTCTCCTCCAGGGTGACAAGCCACAGGCTTGTCCTTTGTAGCCAACGCTCACAAGGAAGTCTGCTTCAAGTGATGCCCCATCGCCCGGAGGCAGCTGCTGGAGGAGGGGTGACAGCCCAGTGGCCCCTCTTTTTCTAATCACCACCCTTCAGCTGCTTCTGTTCACCAACGGGAAAACTTCTACGCATCCCACAAAACCCAGCCCAAAAATTCCATCCCATAGTCATGAATTTTACCCCAGTGACAATGGTGCTAAATTAAACCTAATTTACTAAAGCCTTCTGGATATTGTAGTTTGTTCGATACGTCATCAAATCCCTCCCCCGCCCCGGGTTGTATCAGACTGCAGAGGGTGAATGTGTACACGAGAGAAAGACAGAGAGGGAGAAAGTGAGAAAGCACCCTTTCATGGAGCTTGCTCACACCGCAATCCCTTCTCTTCCAGTCTCTTGTCGGGATCTTGAGCACGCATGCACACAAGCCCACTTGAGTTCAAGCTGCTAGGTCCGAGACTCGAACCGCAGTCAACCACATGAGAGTCCAAAACCTTAACCACTATGCCACCTGCTGGCTCCTCTATCATTTTTTTTTACTCGCCAGCAGGTGCACAGGTGCATGTGTGTGTGACACTTTGGTTTTCAAACTGCCGGGGCTGGGATTTGAACTGCGATTAGCTCTATGGACTATGGGTCCTGATACACAGCACTTAACCACAGTACTACAGAGTCAGCTCGCTTGGGAAAAGGTAAGAGAAGGATCTGAGGGAGATGGGGACAGGATTGAGTAAAAGTCCATGTTTTAGGGGCCAGCAGGTGGCGTGGTGGTTAAGGGCACTGGACTCCCACATGGCTGACTGTGGTTCGAGTCCTGAACTGCCCTCTCTCCTCTCTCTCACTCTCATTCTGTCCCTCTCTGGCCAAATTGAAATAAATAAATTAAATAAATAAAAGTTAAAAAACAAAATAATTATTGGGACCAGCAGTTGGCGTAATGGCTATGTTGCTGGACTCCCATGTACTCAACATCAGTTCGAGTCCCGGACCCGGTGGCTTAAACTCACGCCGGGCGCGTGTGCGTGCGTGCCCAAGATCCCGAGAGGAGAATGGAGGAGAAGGGATTGCGGCGTGGCCATCCCCCCTGGGAGGTGATTTCTCGCTTTCTGTCTCTCTGTCTCTCTCTGTCTGTCTGGCGAGTGCACGTGCCCTATAGCAAAAACCTCTGCAAAAAAAAAAAAAAAAGAAGAAGAAACTGCTGATCAGAGAACAGAGGCAACTTTGCAGGAGTTGACGGTGGATGGAGGTTCCTGGGCCGTTGCCCCCTAGTCCCCACTCCCGGCTCAGCCTGGTTAGGGCTGTGGAAGATTTTGACCTTGTGGTAAAAAAATGCCACCTCTTGTGTTAGAGTATTGGCTATGTCGCTGAACTCCCATGTCTCTCTGTCTCTCTCTGTCTTTCTGGTGAGTGCACGCACCCTGTATCAAAAAACCTCTCCAATTTAAACAAAATAAAATAATTCTCGCTTTCTGTCTCTCTGTCTGTCTCTGTCTTTCTGGCAAGCACAGGCGCCCTATAGCAAAAAAAAAAAAAAAAAAAACAGAAAACTCCAAGAAACAAAAAAATGTTTTTTGCCTTAGGGCGTGTGTGCTCACCAGATAGAGAGAGACAGAGACAGTCAGAGGGAAAGCGAGAAATCACCCCCCAGGAGGGATGGCCACACCACAATCCTTTCTCCTCCTGGGATCTTGGGCATGCACGCACACGCGCCTGGTGTGATTTTCAAGCCACCGGGTCCGGGACTCGGACCTAGCTCAGCCATGTGGGAGTCCAGTAACATAACCACGCCACCATCTGCTAACCCCTCTTGTTTTTTTTTTTTTTTCATGTCAAAAGCAAGTGCACTTGAGAGAAAGCACCCTTCATGGGGGTCTGGCCACACCGTAATTCTTTTTCCTCCAACTATCTTGTCCCGTCAGGATCTGGGGGGTGTGTTTTCAAGCTATGGGGGTTTAAACTGAAACCCTGGCCCCTGAACCCTGGTGAGCCATGAGATCTGGCTTCCTCTTTTTTTAATTTTTTTTGGAGAGGTTTTCGCTATAGGGTGCGTTCGCTCGCCAGAAAGACAGAGAGAGAGACAGAAAGACAGAAAGCGAGAAATCACCCCCCGGGGGGGATGGCCACGCTGCAATCCCTTCTCCTCCATTCTCCTCTCGGGATCTTGGGCATGCACGCACACACGCCCGGCGTGAGTTTTAAGTCACTGGGTCTGGGACGTGAACCGTGGTCAACTACGTGGGAGTTCAGCAACATAGCCATGACGCTAACTGCTGGTTCCCCCTAATAAACTTTTTTAAAAATAGAATTAGGGGAACCAACAGATGGTTAAACAGTTACATCGCTGACTCCCACATGGCAAACCATGGTTTGAGTCCCGGACCTTTACTCAGACTTGAAACTCCCACCAGGCACATGTGGGTGCGTGCTCAAGATCCCGAGAGGAGAATGGAGAAGGGATTGCAGCATGGCCATCCTCCCTGGGGGGTGATTTCTTGCTTTCTGTCTCTGTCTCTCTGTCTCTATCTCTACTGCGAGCATGAATACCACCCAAAAATCTCTCTCTGAAATATATAAATAAATACAAATAATAGAATTAGGACCAGTAAAGTTCTGAGAAGAGAATAGAAGAGAAGGGATTGTGTGGTGTGGCCATCTCCCTAGAAGGTGACTTCTCAATTTTCCTCTCTGTCTCTTTCTCCCCTGCACCCTAGGGCAAAAAAATCTAGAAATGCAGGATCAGCAGTTTGCATAATGGCTGTGTCGCTGGACTCCCATGTAGTCGAGCGCAGTTCGTGTCCCAGACCCGGTGGCTTAAAGTTATGCTGGGCGCGTGTGCGTGTGTGCCCAAGATCCCGAGAGGAGAATGGAGGAGGAGGGATTGCGGCGTGGCCATTCCCCCTAGGGGGTGATTTCTCACTTTCTGTCTCTCTGGTGAGTACACGTACCCTATAGTAAAAATACCTCTCAAAGAAAAAAAATCTAGAAACTCACAAGAAAAGACAATTAGTTCTTTGGATCGTGGTGAGTAGTGAGTTAGGTAGCGACCTCCCACTGGATATGGATTATTTCTTCTCCCAAGGACCGGTTTGCTGTTCCTGTTGGTCTGGTTTTGTGTCCTGAGACCTCGGCTTGGCTGTCGGCCGACTGAGATGGGAACCTGCCAGGGCCTCCCTCTATAGATTCCACCGGAGGACCAGCCACTAGGCTGGGAGTCCTGAGGGCACATGGTGGCCAGACAGGAATGCGAGCCACACCTGTTTGCAATCCTCCCACCAGCCACTGCCAGCTCTCAGGGGGCTACATCTTTGTTTTTCTTTTTCTTTTTTTTTAAAGAATTATTTACTTGTAGCTGGTAGGTAGTGTGGTGGTTAAGGGCGCTGGACTCCCGCTTGGCTAACTGCGGTTCGAATCCCAGACCTGGCAGCTTGCTTTCTTTTTATTTTTTAAGCATTAATTTTATTGAACTTTATTATTTGTTTATTTATTTATTGTAGTTTAACCAGATTGAGACAGAGTGAGAGAGGGAAAGTGAGAAAACAATTTTTTAAAACATTTTTAAAAAGAATTAGTTACTTAGGGCCAGCAGGTGGCATGGTGGTTAAGAGTACTAGACTCTCACATGGCCGACCACAGTTCAAATCCCGGAACTAGCAGCTTGCTTTCTTACTTTCCCTGGTTCTCTGTCCCACTCTGATCAAATTAAAATAAGTAAATAAATAAGTAAAGTTAAGTAAAATAATAATGTTAAAAAGGAATTAGTTACTTAATTGTATTTATTATTTTATTTTTGGGGAGACTTTTTAAAAAAGAATTATTTAATTTTATTTGTTGATTCATTTATTTTATTTTACTTTGACCAGAGAGAGACACACACACACAGAGAGAGAGAGAGAGAGAGAGAGAGAAAGAAAGCGAGAAAGCAAGTCACCAGGTCTGGGATTTGAATTGTGGTCACCCTTGTGGGAATGTCCAGCGTCTTAACCAACACGCTACTGCTGGTCCCCGAGAGATTTTTTTTTTTTTTTTTTTTTAAGAAATATTTTATTTAACTTTGTTTTAATTTGACTAGAGAGGGACAGAGTGAGAGAGAAAACAATAAAGCAGGCCACCAGGTTCAGGACTTGAACCACGGTCGGTCATGTGGAACTCCAGGGCCCTTAACAAGCACGCCACCTCCAGGCCCCTGTAAAGGTTTTTGCTATAGGATGTATGCGCTTGCGGGAAAGATAGAGAGAGAGTGAGAGATAGAAAGTGAGAAATCATCTCCCAGGATTTTGGGCAAGCACGCACACATGCCCAATGTTTTAAACTACCGGGCCCGGGACTCGAACCAGGGTGAACCATATGGGAGTCCAGCGCCCAACCACCAGGCTAAGCCGCGTTTTGTCCCCATCTGGCCTCAATGACTGTAATAATAATAATATTATTATTATTATTTATGATGATGATGGAACTGAGGTCAGAGGCCCAGCTAAGGTCAGGACCAAGGTCGACATTTGGACCAGGGTCCCGTTGGACGTGGCAGAGGAGAACCATAGCCAAGCCTTTCTACTTCCACGAAATTGCGGAGTGGACTTCCGCCTCGGTAGCTGTCATGGCCACAGACAGGACCCTTTTCGAGTTCTCGACCCATCCTGGAGACTGTAAAGTGAAAGCCCGGTACCTGTCTAGGATTGGCTATCTCATCGCGGGAGGCGGGATGACAGGCAGTGATTGCCAGCATGCGCCCTATCTGCGATTGGCCAATGCAGTACAGAGTGAGGAGGTAGGGGGTGTGGCCAACGCTACTCATAGGCTGGTAAAAAAAGGGGCGGAGAAATAAGAGTGAACGCCAGCCTTGGTGTAGCTCGACGCTTACTAGCGATTGGTCATTAAGCTCCGGAACAGCGTGTAGGTTTCATTCATCCATCCACTTGTCTTTTATTGGCCCATCTTGCTCGGGGCGGGGAAAGCGGACTTTCGAGACGTTCAGCTATTGGTAGAATAGGCTTGAGGCGGGCATATGGACTCCAAACACAGTGTACGATTGGTCCGAGCTAGGAGGGGCGGGCATTCTGGGCGCGGTGGTAATTCACCATTGGTCAGCGCGACGCGGACCTAACTAGCGTGCCGGTTCCTGGGTCCCGGCTGGCGATGGGGCTCCGAGGCTGGCGCGGTTTTCGTGGCTTGCTGGCTGCAGCGCAGCCCCTGTTCCAGGGCCGGGCGCTGCTTGTCACCAACACGCTAGGTTGTGGCGCACTCATGGCAGCTGGAGACGGCGCGCGCCAGTCCTGGGAGATCCGCGCCCGGCCGGGCCAGAAGTTCGACCCCCGGCGCTCAGGTGAGGTCATCCGCTCTGCACGCTGCACCCCGGGGACCCTTTCACCCAGAACCTCCCCCTCGGAACAGGCTGTGAACCATGATCTGTGTCAATGCTAAGCAGGAAGTCTTGATCCCTGCGTGCACCTTAGACTCTGACCTCCTCGGTTCTCTATCCCTCCCACTCCTCGGGGTCTCGGTCTCCAACCACCCCCAGGTCTCCTTGACCTCCCACCCCTCAGTCTCTTCCACCCCAGGGGATCTGTGCTCCCCACAACTCCGGGGATCTCATCACCTACCACCCCAGGAGCCCCCTACTAGGAGGTCCTGCGATGGCACCTGGCCCTGGTTCTTGTAAACAAATAAGAGGTGGGGACCCAGATTCTCCCGTGGTCGACAGCAGTTCGAGTCCCAGACCTGGCGGCTTGCTTTCTCGCTTCCCCTTTCTCTCTCTCTCTCTCTCTGGTCAAATTTAAAAATAATAATAGCAACAAATGGGATGAAATAAATAATTATTTCTGACTCTTTTATTACCCACAGCGTGCATGTTTGCGGTGGGTTGCAGCATGGGTCCCTTCCTGCACTACTGGTACCTCTGGCTGGACCGCCTCTTCCCAGCATCAGGCCTGCGAGGCCTCCCAACCATTCTCAGGAAGGTCCTCGTGGACCAACTGGTGGCCTCTCCCATGCTGGGCGTCTGGTACTTCTTGGGTAAGAAGCCCCATCAGCTTGGGTTTACTCCTCATGGCTCAGGAGGGTGGAGCCAGCTTTGTGTTAGGAAGGATGCTGTGGTGGGACCACCAGATGGCATAGCAGTTACATTGCTGGACTCCCAAATGGTTAACCACGGTTCGAATCCCAGACCCAGAGTCTTGAAAATCACACCGGGCATGTATGTGTGCGTGCACAAGATCTGGGGAGGAGAATGGAGGAGAAGGGATTGCAGCATGGCCATCTCCCTCCTGGGGGGGGGGGCAATTTCTCACTCTTCCTCTCACTGTCTCTGTCTCTCCTTCTAGCGAGCACACATGCCCTAAGGCAAAAACCTCTTTTTTCTTTTTCTTTTTAAGAATTATTTTATTGGGGCCAGCAGGTGGCGTGGTGGTTAAGGGCGCTGGGATCCCACATGGTTGACCACAGTTTTTGAATCCCGGACCTGCTAGCTTGCTTTCTGACTTTCTCTCTCACTCTGTCCCTCTCTGGTCAAATTAAAATAAATAATTAAATAAAGTTAAATTCCTTTTTTTAAAAGAATTCTTTTATTTCTTTTATTTATTTTGTTGTTATTATTATTTAATTTGACCCATAAGAGACAGAAAGAGAAAGGGTATGTGAGACAGCAAGCCACCAGTTTCGGGATTTGAACCACCGTCCACCATGTGAGTCCAGTGCCTCAACCACCATGCCACCCACTGGCTCCATAGGCAAAATCCTCTTTTAAAAAAAAATAGGATGCTGAGGTGCATTTCTGTTGTCCTCTTATATGCGTGGCCTTGGACTCGAAGGTCAGGTTACAGGGTGTCAGGATAGACCCAGCCTCAGAGAGTCAGTTGGGGCTGGTGTGAATGTTGGTAAATAGAAGCGCAGTTCCCAAAGGAAGGGACGCTCCACTGAGACTTGAAGTAGCCCCGAGGCAGGGGGAGTGGCCCATGCAAAGGCCCTGAAGGAAGGGGGGGAGGGGGGGGAACTGATGCTAGGAGAAAGGGTAGAGCAAGCCTTAGGTCATATATGGGAGTCCCTTCCCTAATCCTCAGGCTTAGTTTTCTCCTCTATAAAGACTATGCTATATGGGATCAGCAGTTGGTCTAATGGCTATGTCGCTGGACTCCCATGTAGTTGACCACGGTTCGAGTCTTGGGCCTGGTGGCTTAAACTCACACTGGGCACGTGTGTGTGCGTGCCCAAGATCCCGAGAGGAGAATGGAAGAGAAGGGATTGCGGCGTGGCCATCCCCCCTGAGGGTGATTTCTTGCTGTCTCTCTCTGTCTTTCTGGCAAGCGCACATGCCATATAGCAAAAACCTCATCAAAAAAAAAAAAAAAAAAAAAGACTATGCAATAAATATTCCCAACCTCGGGGCATGTCTCTTTCCTTCCAGGCACGCGTTTGAGACTGACTCATTTCCTTACATGAACCGCCCTGCTGTTCACTGGGCCCACTGCCATGCTTTTGAATGTCCTGGTCCCCACCCCCTCCATCATTGGCCAATCCTGTCACACACCTGGGCCAAGATCCTCCATCACTGGCCAATCGTGTTGTACTCCTGGGCCCCGCCCTTTCCATCACTGGCCAATCCCGTCATACTCCTTGGCCCCACCCCTCCCATCACTGGCCAATCCCGTCATACTCCTTGGCCCCACCCCTGCTATCACTAGCCAATCTCTTTGTACTTTTGGGTCTCACGCTCAGTTTTTGGGTTTCCATCTCAGGCATTGGCTGCCTGGAGGGTCAGACACTGGAGGAGAGCTGCCAGGAACTCCAGGACAAGTTCTGGGAATTCTACAAGGTGGGAGTTCCCGCCCAGGCCCCGCCCACCCACTCGGCCCCGCCCCCAATGGCCCCTGGCCCCGCCCCTCAGCACGCTCCGCCCTTCCCCGCAGGCTGACTGGTGCGTGTGGCCAGCCGCGCAGCTGGTGAACTTCCTGTTCGTGCCTCCCCAGTTTCGTGTCACCTACATCAACGGTCTGACCCTGGGCTGGGACACGTACCTGTCTTACCTGAAGTACCGGGTGAGTGCAGCGGTTGGGCCAGGCATCCAAGGGTGGAGATCTCCCCATGCTGATGACAACCCGTACCCCACGGTCAGCGGGAGGGAGGCTCTGATGTGACCCTAGTTAAGTCCCTACCATGTCCCTGCAGCGGCGCTGACCCTCCGCCCTAGGACAGGCTCAGCAAGCAGCTTGGAGAGTTGAGGCGGGCCTGTGACCAGACTCTCTTGTGCCGACAGATTCCCGGCACCCTGACATCACCAGGCTGCGTGTCCCTGGACACCCGTGCAGACTGAGTCACCCCTGCTGATGGGGCAGGATGCAGGACAGAGCAAGCGGGACTCGCAGCTGACCACCACCCTCTGCTGGAGGAACCCGTTTCTGCAACAGGCCAGGGGCCACACTAGCTGCTGGGCCTGTTTCCCCGTCTGGGACACTGTCACAAAGACGGACATCCCCAGTGAGAGCTTCAGGTGACCCTGGAGGGAGGGGTCCCCTGCTCAGCTCCCAGCCAGGCAGCCCTAAGACTCAACCTCTCCACACTGCCATAGGGCTGGCCTTGGGACTAAGACAAGGATGTGGCCCAAACCCTTGAAGCAGAGTCTGGTTTGTAGTTGACCCCTCAAGACCTTTGGGCAGAACCAGGCAGACCCCAGGTCTCTGGCGGTGGACTGTGGACATTCTATTAAATTCTCAGTAATTGAAAACCTTGGACCAGCTGTTAGCTGGACTCCCATGTTGTTGACTGCAGTTCGAGTCCCAGATCCGGTGGCTTAGAACTCACACCGGGCATGTGTGCGTGCGTGCCCAAGATCCCGAGAGGAAAATGGAGGAGAAGGGATTGCAGTGTGGCCATCCCCCCTGGGGGGTGATTTCCCGCTTTCTGTCTCTCTCTGTCTTTCTGTTGAGCGCACATGCCCTATAGCAAAAAACCTCTCCAAAAAAGAAAACCTCAGGACCAGTGGATGGCATAATGGTTACATGGCTGGACTCATATGGAGTTGACCATGGTTTGAATCCTGGACCCGGCAGCTTGAAACTCATGCCAAGCGTGTATGTGTGTGTGTCCAAAATCCCAAGAGGGAAGTGATTACTGTGTATCTATCTATCCCCCTGGGAAGTGATTTCTTGCTTTTTGTCTGTCTCTGTGGTGAGTGCACACGCCCTTATAACAAAAATCTCTCTTAAAAATTAAAAAAAGGGGCTGGCAGGCGGTGTGGTGATTAAGGCGTTGGACTCCCACATGGGGTACCACAGTTTGAGTCCCCTCCGTGATGTCTTGTTTTCCTCACGTTCCCACTCTGTCTCTCTTGAACTGAAAAAAATATACTACTGGGGCCAGCAGGTGGCATGGTGGTTACAGGCGCTGGGCTCCCACATGGCCGACTGCGGTTCGAGTCCTGGACCTGGCAGCTTGTATTCTCACTTCCCCTCTCTCTCTCCCTCTCTCAGTCCTTCTCTGGTTAAATTAAAATAAATAAATAAAGTTAAATAAAATAATTATTTTTAAAAACCCTACTAAATACAATTAAAATAAATGATTCATTAAAAAAAAAACAAAGCCCCAGTGGTTCACCCAGGCGGTGGTGGGGGGTTTGCACAGGGACACAGTATGGTCCATTCGCTTTATTGGGGTTCTGTGTAGTGTTGGTTGACATCTCCTAGGGGACTTGGGGGGCACGTTTGATACTCCTGACATCAGAACAGGTCTGGGGGAGGTGGTAGGTCCCAGGGCGGTGAATATGCACAGCATCCCCCTCCTCCCAGAAAGGAGAAAACGTTGGGGAGAGGAGCCGGCAGCTGAGTTGCCGCACTCCGAACCCCATGGTCCACTGGGAGACTCCTGCCATGGCCACGGCTCACCCAGCACGGCAGAGCTGCGGGGCTGGCAGGCCTGGCTAACAACCTCCCATCACCCCATCAGCCTACTCTGGGGTGTCATCGGGCCCCCTCTCCGCAGCTGACAAGTATTGATGGGGTGAATTTAAAAAAAGGTGGGGTCTGGAGAAGAGGGTGAGCGGTGAGGTCACGGGGCCACGATACGCCACGGCAGAGCAGGGGCGGGGCTTGTA